CAGTACATTTTTTTTCAGAGCTGTGATCAATCTCGTCAATACTGTAGGTTTAAATGGATCCCAACCTCAGCATCGTTGCTGGAAGCAGCAGAGACAAGAATTTTTCGATGTAAGTTGAATTGGTTTTTGCACAAAAGTTTTGCAACACTAATCAATGACTATTAAAGTGAAGATGCTTTCAGGTGGAGAGGATTGCAAATTTGATATCTTTGGTGTTCAAGTCATTCATAAAATGTATTGTGTGGATTCAGCGCCTGTGAAATTCCCACTTACTTACACATTTATGTTTCTGCCCTGAAATGGTTCTGTAAAAAAAAAAAATCATTTTCAAGTAAAACTGAAAGAATGATTCTGAGTTGTACCCACGCCCCCTTACTGTCGCAGTCAACTGTTTCCAGCTTTCTTTTTTAATTAAAAATTTTGTGCTTGGAAATATAAACTACAATAATATTCACACACATTAGGTGAGGTTCAACATCAGGGTAGTATGCGTTTCACACATACTTTAAAATATTGGTTTTTTCATTTTAATAAAAGTTACTGACTAATTATTAAGCATTTTAACTGGCCAAATATACAAGTACATTTTATAATTGTATTTGTATAAAGTATTATTGTTTTTTTGTTGGTTTGTTTGTTTTATATTTGTTGCCTTGTAGTAGTTTTTGGTCTTCTAGAATAAATAATTATCTTTGAATTTCATTTTCAGATTTGAAGGCAAAATATGAGGGTCGATTTGTACCAATAAGTCGTAATCAAAGCAAATTATGGACGGTAATGTTTCATTCAAGATATAGCACTAGAACACCTTTTGTATTTGTGCATGGCTTTGGAGCAGGAGTTGGTCTATGGGCTCTTAATATTGACTCAGCATGCAAGCAACGGCCTCTCTATGCTTTTGATCTTCTCGGTTTTGGCCGTAGCTCAAGACCGACATTCCCGAAGAATCCAGCTGCAGTGGAGGACCAATTCGTTTACAGCATTGAGAGATGGAGAGAAGAGCTGAAGCTGGATAAAATGATTTTAGTTGGACATAGTTTTGGTGGTTATCTCGTTAGCAGCTATGCTTTGAAATATCCAGACAGAGTTAAAAAGCTGGTCTTAGTTGATCCATGGGGATTCCCGGAGAAACCATCAAACTTTGAATCCAGAATACCATTAATAGTACGAATTATCGCCAATATTGTGTTATCCACAACTGGTACCATGTTGGCTGTTCTTAGAGCTGCTGGACCTTATGGTAATTATTTTGTTTTTTAGAAAGTAATTAAGCTACTTTTCACTATCAAGGATTTAATAAGGAAAAATTGTCTGTTGCTGTCATTTATTTTTGAATAGAACGTTTCTCATCTAAATATCATTGTCATGCCTGGTTACTGATTGCTTGGTATGTATCTACTAACAAGAGTGAGGTTGTCATATTCAAAAACCTGTAGTTCTTACTTTGTGAATAAGCAGGCACACTAATGAAATCAGCCCGAGTTGAACACTAATCAGTTTTTTCACAGACATTTTTTAGAAATTTCAAATCACAAATTCAACTTCAAATTGTTTCATACCCTTATCGTATAAATCTTATGTGATAAATAAATTGCATCCCTATTTCAATCATCTTATCACCTGCTATCAGTTTCCATGGTTTCAATGATTCATTATATAGTTGTATTTTGGTTTCTAGGTCCAGATTTACTAAAAAAGGCACGTGCAGATCTACAGGAAAAATATTCAGATTTATTTGATG